CTCACAAGTTACAAAGACTCATACAAGAGCTGCACAAAGGAGGGGAACCAGTTGGCTTAAAAATAAATCTGAAAAAGAGCCAGATTATGTTTAATAAATTCACCAAAGAAAGAAAAATCTTTATATCTGGAAAACAACTAGACATAGTAGACAACTACATAACTTGGCCAATAGATCTCAATGGAAGCTGATAAAAAAATATTAAATGTGGTTGATGGGCATTTAGCAAGTTAAGCATAATTTTCAAGAACAATCTTCCCCTATGGCTGAAAAGAAAAGTTTTTTTTCAGTGTTCTAACATATGCCAGTGAAATATGGACACTAATTTCATAATCAGTACAAAAGCTATGAGTGTCATAAAGAACCATGGAAAAATACATGCTCAGCATCACAAGACAAATAGAAAGAACTGCACATGGAAATATATGAAAATATATGATGCCATCAAAAGAGTAAAAGAACTGAAATGGAAATGAGCTGGTCACATAGCAAGAAGAACTGATAGCAGGTGGACTAAGGCAGTCATAGAATGGATTCCACTTGATAAAAAGCATTCACAAAAGAGACCTAAAACAAGATGGAGTGATGACATAGCAAGTACTGCAAGTACTACGACATCAGAGAGAAAGCTCAAGACCAGTGGTTCTCAACCTTCCTAATGACACGACCCCAACCATGTGGTCATAAGTCGAGGACTACCTGGGTGGGGCAGGAGAAGGCGCGCACGCTCTGCCTCCTCTCCTGCGGCTGCACATGGGCCGTCACCCAACAACCGCCTTGGTCTGGGAGCGCCACGCATGTGTGGTGCCACCCCCTGTGCCGGCCGAGGCATAGCTGGCAAGTGGCAGTGATGGCGCAGGCCGACCACCTGCTGGGCCACCAGCTGGCCCAGCCCAAGGGAGGTAAGCCACCCTCCGGGCCCTACACACGCCAGAAACCCTCCCTGCACCCGCCGCTGCCCCGCTAGCCTTATCTTGGCCACCGCACATTCAGTGCAGCGGGAGGCAGGCCCAGGCGCTCCTGGGCAGCCATGGCACATGGCAGCGAGGCTGCAGGCCGACCACCGGCTGGGCCACCAGCTGGACCAGCCCAAGGGAGGTAAACCACCTGCCAGGCCCCATGCGCGCTAGCAACCCTCCCTGCGCCCGGTGGCCTCCCACCTCCCATGCCTGGCCCTCTTTTACTTACATTTAGTAGTTGCTCAGCAGGGAGGGGTGGAAATGTCCAGAAACCTTGCCTTAGCTGCAGACAACTTGCAGCACCGTTTGCAGATTTGGGCTTTTGGCGGGCTCAGCAGGGCAGAGACAGCCTGGACAATTCCTATTGGCTTTTGAAAGCCAATAGAATTAGACTCTATTCAAGAGAGTCTATTCTATTGGCTTTCGAATGCCAATAGAATAGAGTCTCTTGAATAGAGTCTATTCTATTGTCTTTCAAAAGCCAATAGAATAAGAGGGAGTAGCACAGCTAAGGAAAAGGGGAAAAAATGGTGGACTGCATTGTTTGGTGACCCCCATGAAATGGTCGTTTGACCCCAAATGGGGTCACGACCCACAGGTTGAGAACCGCTGCTCAAGACCATATTGGTTGGAAATACACAGAAGAGACCTTCATCCTGAGTGGATGGACAATGGCTAGGTGGTGGTGCATGTATATGTGTGTGTGTGTTTATATAATAAATAAATAAATGAATGAATGATGAGCAACTTTAAGCTTGTTATATGGAGACATAAGAATGGTGAGTCTAAAGAATATGCGTACTTTTCTGTACACATATATCTTTTTCAAGAATAGATATGTATTGGATTTCTAAGAAAGTCACTACATAACTAATAAAGTGGAGAGAGCACTGAAAACCCTTTTGAGATAATAATCCAGTGACTTTAATATTTAAGAGGACAGGTAGAACTTATAGATGGAGGCTAAATGAAACTCTACTACAAAAAGAATCAATAACTGTTTTAAAAAGACGCTGAAAGAGTTTCTTGAGATTCATTTAAATAGAAGCACAGACATAAGTACAGCATGGGATGCTGGCAAAGCCTTTTTGATCAGACAGTTTAGGCAATGGAATTGACAAAGAGAAAATGCAAAAGATTTTAATGGAGATAAAAGTGAAAGAAGAATTTAAGACATCTTCAGGAAGGAAAAGCATTTCACAGCAAACTAAACTTCCACAACACCAGTTTTCTATGTGAATGATTAAAGAAATGGAAATAAAAATGAATTTTGCAAAACTGAAGAATTTTGAATTAGAAAATTCTGCTAATGACTAGCATATTAACTGAGAAAAGAAAGTTAGAAGAAAGTGATATTAAAATTATAGAATGATAATGCTATGATAATGATTAATGAAAATATGCAAAGAATATTCTACCAGTTTTATATAAAACTTTATAAAGGAGAAGAAATTTATCTGGCAAAAGTTGGATGGGTGTTTAAAGAATCAAAATTTACCATAGATAATAGGCAAAAACAAAAGCAGATGATGAATGGACCTATAACAATAACAGGAGTCTATGAGGTTATAAAAGCTATTGGCACGGATAGATTGCCAGCCTCCTATTATAAATGTTTTGAGGATGAACAGTTTCAAAAAAATTATAGAATAATGACATAATAAACTTCAAATGGCTAAAAATCCCAAGAGCTAGCCAGCCTCACAGTTGCATGGTTTTCTGTGTCCTTTACCTAAAGCCGCAGAACCAAGTTTTAGATCCCTTTTCCTAAGGCCAAGAGAGTGAGGAGCCTTCTTCCCCTGTGGGGGCAGGATGATTGATAATGTGGAGAAAAGCAACAAAAAAGGATGTCTTCCTAGATCCCACCAGATGAAATTCCTTAACTGACGGGATTTGCAGCATAACATCCCCGCCTAAATGAGTGAGATGGGCTGATGGGCTGGGGCAAAGCTGTTTCTATAGGTAACCTGATCCTAAGCCATGTAGGGCTTTAAAATTAATGACCAACCCCTTGAATTGGACCTAGAAGCAAACCATCAACAAATGCAACTCAGGTGTTATTTCATATTTCTAGCTATTTTCTCTTGTCTGTTACAAAGACTACAGTAAAATAAAGTAAATTTACCTGGGCAAAGATAATTACTCAGATAAATTTCCATAAGGCATTTTTACCTACATATTATTCATTCATTGTCCTGTCACTGTGTCTCAGCCTTATGAAGCAGTCAATGGCAAATCATTTCAGAAATCTTGCCAAGAAAACTGATACCAGGTATCCAGGCAGACACCAGGAGTCAACACTGACTTGAAGCATGCAAACACACCCATCTTCCCATCCATTGTATCTAATTTATGCAGAAAATTTTCCGATTGATTTAACTAAATGGATATTCAAGCTCAGGGCTTTTTTTCTCATAGAACGCCCAGAACGGAGTTCTGGCACCTTTTTGGGATGGAACCTTGTAGGGTAGGCAAGGTGGGTTGTATGACATGTGTGAGGGGTTTTTTTTTAGAAAAAAAGCACTGTTCAAGCTAATATGAATAGGAATACAGGCTTAGAATGTAAGAATATCACTATAAATTGCACTTGGAAATAAGCAAGTAAATCTTAACATACCACACGTTTGCAGTAGTTTTGTTTAAAATATTTATATAGCATTTGAAATATTTCATTCTTTGAGCTGATGTTCAACAGCAGCCTCACATATATCAATTACAGTGGTTTCAGATTGATGGATCAAAGTTCACACAACTTGGGCAAGATAATATTTATGCAAGAATTTTGATTTCAACCAAAATAATGAAAATTGTCTCAAGACAAAACCTACTCATGAAACTATTTTGCAGCTACTAGTACAGTGGTGACGAACCTATGGCATGGGTATCAGAAGTGGCACTCAGAGCCCTCTCTGTGGACACACGCACCCTCGCCCCAGTCCTAGGCCTTCAGCTGGGTTTTATAAAACCTTTTCGCTTTAGGCCTTCGCCGCCGTGTACAAAAAAAATGTTCAATCAATCAGTCAATTTCAACTTTTCGCGGGAAAAGAAAAGATCTTGCAAAGTTGGAATTGATTGATTGAACTTTTTAGTTCCACCCAGTCTGCCATTACCACTGCAGCCACGCCCACCCAATGGGCATGTCCAGCCAATGGGCCACACTCAGCCAATGGGCCACACCCACCTGGCACCCGACGATACGTAAGTGGGTTTTGGGTTGCAGTTTGGGCACTCGGTCTCTAACAGGTTCACCATCACTGTCATAGTCTAGGTGCATCTGGTGACTATTAGGGAGGAAAAGGCAGAGACAGAGGCAGAAATCGTTCTGACAAACATTTATATAGAATCTAATCTACAATACATTTAAGACAATATATGGGATATTTCAGTGGTGGGATTCAGCTGGTTCGCACCACTTCAGCAGAACCAGTAGCTAATTTTTTGTTGGCCAGGCCCAGAATGGACTTCTGGAAGTGGCATCCACACAGAGAACCAGTTGTTAATATATTTGAATCCCACCACTGGGATATTTGTGGACCATTCACACAAACAGCATCACATATATAATAATAATGCTTTTGAAAATAATCTATTTCTCCACCAGATTTTTAATTTTTTTTCTAGAAATTGTTATAAATACTGCTATAACATAAAGTAACATCTACCATGTCATGGTTTCATTCATATTAGGAAATTCTCTATGACACGGATCTTAAAAACAAAAATATATAGCTTTGAAATGTGGTAGTTGCCTACATTAACATCTGATATTTTTATTATGGGTGCCAGCTATTCTTTCATTCCCAGATTTTAGTCTTACTTACACTTTCACAGTTTAAATATTTCCCTAGATAAGATTATTTTGATTTAAGCAGTAGATCAGGAATTAGGTGACTTGCCAGGCAATGTAATTAAAACATAATATCATTGTCTAGTATAATGAATAATTTAGTTTTAAATCAAGGATACTTTATTAATACTCAGTGATGTCTTTAAGGTATCAATGCCTACCACTAATATAGCTTGTTCTTTATAATATCTTTACAGCTTCAAGAATAGTAGGAAGAATGCCAACATAATGAATCTTCAAAGGTTGAAGATTAACATTTCATCTGTCACAATCAAGTCACCTGAATCTTATAAGGTATTTTTGTTCAGATTCCATATTCAACAATCTTTGAAAATGCTCAGAACTTTAAAAAAAAGAAAAAAGAGAGGAAGATTAGCTTTTATATTTCCAAATCATTCTTCTCCAATTAGTTAGTTTTTAGCTACATCCATTAATATCATGACCAATGGAGGTATATCAGGCTATTTTAGAGATTAAGACCAATGAAAATATATTTTTGATATTTGCTCTAATAATTGATGCATAATTGAATTTTTAAGAAGAGACTGGACAGCCATTTGTCTGAAATGGTGTAGGATTTCCTGCCTGATCAGGGGGTTGGACTCAATGACCTCCAAGATCCCTTCCAACTTCATTATTATTATTATTATTATTATTATTATTATTAATAATAATAATATATTTTATGATTAATGGTAGATAAGAGAGCACTTCCACTCTGCCTGATTCTATTGGACAGGCAGAAATTAACAAAGTCAGTCTCTTAAAAAAGTAGGCCCTATGCCATGAAGGCCTTTATAAGTGACCAGCACCTTCAAATGCATCCAAAAGCCAATTGGAAATCAGTTCAGATTATGGAAATAACTCATAGGCTTATCAAAGTATGCTCATTATTACCAATATTTCTGCATTTTGGACAGTGTGTAGATTCTAGGCAGCCTTTAAGGGCTGTTTAATTGGTGTTTTATCAGAGGTTTGGCAAAGAGGAATTGGATAGTGGTAGATAACTCTTTTCCTTACGTCACAGGTGTCAAACTCGATCATATCACGTGACGTATCATGATGTATTGTGACTTTTTTTGCCTTTGTGGAGCTGGGGTGAGAGTGGTCTATGCATGATGTATCCGGCCTGCGGGCTACCAATTTGACACCCCTGCTTTAGGTGCTTAGTACATAGAACTTTATATTTTCATACAACAGTTGAGCTTAATACATAATTAAACAAACATTTAGTTTAGTCATGAAAGGGTTATTCTTGGGTGTACTTTGCTTTGGGGATACTTTGTAACACCTGTGTAGCAACACCTATGTAGAATAGGATGATCTTTCTCATCTTTAATTTAAAATATTGAGATGGTGTCATTGCTATCAGATGCAAACAAATACTCCTTAATCCTGATGATCTCACACTTGGCAGGATTCCTTATCTTTAAGTAGTTTTTAGGAGGAGTAGGCAAAGCATCTTAAAATACCATAAGTTTATTTTCTTCATCATTCAAAATAACGTCATTGAAAACATGCATGAATAATTTTGATTCAGAATCTATATAGTTAATTAAAATCCAATATGGTACAAGACCAGACTGTTTGTGGGACTGGCTCTCTCTGACTGTTTATGCTCAGCCGACCAGAAGCAACAGAATAAACATGTTCCATGTCCTTTCTATCAAGCATTGTCAACTTGTTAAGCCCTTTTCTATCTCAATGCCTGCTCTTTGGAACAACTTCCACCCAGAGATCCAGATGTTTCTGATGTGTTCCCCTTTTGGAAGGCATGAAATGCTTGTCTGTTCCTTAAGCATTTGGAACAGGAAGTTAAGCTTTGTGTTTTATGTTTTTTGGAGGGGTAGGGGAATTGGGAATTATACATTATACAGAGTCATTTCTCAGAGATGGATAGCTACAGTATATAAATGGTATGAATAAACAAAGCCTGGATGAGTCATAAATTCAGTGTTGCTTTTGTTATTTAGGTGATTATTTAAACAAAATCATAGTGAATGAGGCAAAACAATATGTTGAGCTGGAAAGATAGTTTCATCAGTTCACTGAGGGAAATGAAATTGCAGTTGCTATAAAAATGTGCATTTGTGATATCTATAGCATCTTGGTTACCAAATTGATTCAGAGCACAGTTCAGACTTTAAACCATTTCCTAATCTATATTTATTGAAGGAGTTTTAATTATGGCCCAAATATATTTGGAAACAGTCATACAACTATCTGTTCTAATTAAAAGAATTTTACTAATATATAAGCTAAGTATTCCAAGTAATTGATCTTGTAATTGATAGAAAATACATATCAATTTTTTTTAGTTAGAAAAAGTTGCATGTCAAAAAAACAAAAACAAAGCCTCATTATTTTTAAAAGGATGGGAATGAAAGTATGAAGATGATCCTCACTGAATCAATTTTGATATAGAACTTTTCCCTGGAGACAAAAGAGAAGGTTCAGGAGATTATTTTTCTCCAAGAATTCTGCTGGATTGTCTAGAATAGATCATGGGTGTCAAACTCAATCGTGTCATGTGATGTATTGTGACTTATCGTGATGTTTTGTGCCTTTGTGGAGCTGGGATGGGCTTGGCCTGCATGTGATGCCTCTGGCTACAGGCTGCCAGTTTGATACCCCTGGTCTAGATAGTAAATTGACAGCATAAGTAGCATTTATTATGGCCACAAAGTGCACTGACTATGCACTGCAAACACCAGAATAATTTTTCCTTTTCCTGTCATCTTCTGATATAAAAAACCATGGCACTGAAGTCTTCAGAAATGTCCATCCTTATCCAGCACATATGGTCCTTCAGCTGAAAGATACAGAAGCTTAGCCTTTTAGGTGTATGGAATGTATGGAATGGAGACAATGGCCCTTTCTGGGAGCGAGGGAAGGAAACACTGGGGCTTCTTTCTCAAGATCTGCAATCTGGAAAAAATGTGAGGGGATAAAGGACAGAGTTCTGGAATTCAAACACATTCATTTCTGGTTGACTAAGAACGTGATGCTGATGAAACAGAATAGATACATGGATATCCAAATCCTAATCTTGAGATATAGCGTGTATAGAATTAGAATAAAAGAAAAACTGAAACATATTTTGATTGCCTATTCAGACAAACAAGCATCCAGAAAAAATATATAACATTGTGGAAGAAGTGGAAAAATAATTATTTAAAATACTTGATCTTAGCACTATTGATCTTTAATTTGAAAATTAATTCATAAATGAATTAGTTACATGACCAGATAATTGATAAGGCTGATCAGCACATGTTTTCCTAAAGATATGGTCATCACATCTAGATATTTAGCAATATACAAAGATTTTATTATCAGGTTTATGCAGTATTTCCCAAAAGAATATTTTAATATTTAAACATGAAATTTTAGGAAGAGACCCTTTTAGGAAAAGATAGTCTTAATCTATTTTTTCCATCTTCTGATTACCATTTTCCATTGTAAGAGTAAAGTGGGTTACATGACTTTTAGAATCTAAGCTTCATAACTGAAATCCAGTATTTTTATATTCACATAGCATCAGTTAGAAAGAAAGTGCTTTGCAACTTTGTGGAGACTTTATCACAGTCCAAACCAAATCATTCCTTGTATAACTAAAGGTTGTGGGTATAATTCTATCTTACTTATTTACAATACACATTGACATTTCCAATTCTTTTTCATTTATTAGGTAAAAGTATTGTGAGATCAATTAAAAAATACAAGTTTCTACTATTAAAGAAAAAATCCTGTTAACTTTAGGATAGGATTTGCAAAAGGGGAGGGATTTGCCAATTTAATATTTTACAGCAGTATTCAAGTAGATTTGACTAAGGAGGATAATCCATTTATACTTCTAATGCTATCAGAACTCTTAAACCTGGATGCAAGAAGTATACTTTTTGTGGGAAAGTTCATGAAAGCTTATCTCCTGAAGCAGACGCACAAGGTCAGCATCTGCTTATTATTAGGACTCCTTTCTATTCCATTAGAGACTAAAAGAAAACCCTGAAGACACTTCTTCCTACACTTTCAATTTAATATTAAAGTATTGAACTGAGCTTCCTGTGCAAGCATACATTAAACAAGAGGAGAGCTTTAAAGATGACCTGAAAGTGGATAGGATTGGAAAATTGTAGTGAGGTTGCTTAAGAAATAATTTGTATATATTTTAGGGTAAAGAATGCAAAGATATTTCCAAGGACATTGACAAATCACAGCCCAGTATGGATGGAATTGGCTACTGAAAAAGAGGAGAGGAGATCTTGGAGGTTGAATGAAAATTTATTTAGACAAGAAATGAATGTTTAGAAACTTAAAGAGTATTTAAAGGAATATTTTGTTTTAAATATGCATAAGGGAACTTCAATGGCAATGGTATGGGATGCAAGTAAAGCTTACATGCGTGGGGTTCTGATACAAATGAATAAGGCTTATAGACAGAAACAGGTGCAAAAACGTAAGGAGTTGGAAGATGAGATTAAATTAAAAGAAAAAGTTCTAATTTTGAATCCTACAGATGAGAAGGTCAAACTATTTACAAGATGCTCATTTTCCAAGTTAACAGAAGATCAGAAACAGGAAATCAATGGGTTGGTTACTATAGAGTAAATTGTTACAGCAATTAAACAATTAAAAATAGGTAAAGCACCGGGTACTGATGGATTGACATCAATTTATTATAAGACTTTGATAGATGAGATGATAGAACCTTTAAGGGAACTTTTTAATAACATATTACAGGGATCAGAGACCCCCCTGTCTTGGGGTAGAGCTTTTATATCCTTGATCCCAAAAGAGGACCAAGATCTTACTCTACCAAAAAATTATAGACCTATATCTCTTTTGAATGTAGATTACAAGATTTTTTCGAAAATTCTAGCTAACAGACTTATGACTGTGTTGATTCAACTAATACATAAGGATCAAACTGGTTTCATAACTGGAAGATATATGAATAACAATGTTAGACAAATTATTAATTTAATAGAATATTTGGATAAGAACAACCAGATTTCTGCAGGATTAATATTTCTAGATGCTGAAAAAGCTTTTGATCAGTTAAATTTATTTATTTATTTTATTTTATTTATTTATGAGACTTATATACCACTTTATGTTAAGATTGGTTGAGGAAATTAATTTTGGAGATAAAATTTTACAGGCTCTTCGAGCCATTTATCAAAAACAAACGGCACAACTTATAGTTAATGGAGGTTTATCAGAGGTATTTCCAATTGAAAAGGGGACCAGACAGGGTTGTCCATTGTCGCCTTTGCTGTTTGTTTTAACCT